CACTTTCCACATCCTCTGCCAGAGGGGTAGTCTCTCATGCTGCCAAAAGCCCAGTGACTTACAGTGTCATCCTGGGGAGGGGGGCTGACTTGGTGAGTTCATCTGTCTTCTCTGCCTCAAAACTCATCTCTATTCTACTCTGATGCCATGCTGGATTTCCCTGTCAGGTAAGTTGGACCTCCACAAATTCTCTATGGGCTATGGCTATCTGGCTAGTTTTGCACTCTCTTGGTTTCCGTCCCCTGCCCCCTCTTGGCAGGGAGTGGGGGTGGGGCAGGCTCATGGAATCCCTTGGGTCCACCACCCCTACTGAGGTCCTATCTATCCATTTTCAGGTGTACAGGTGGGTAGAAACTCCTGAGTGTTCTGTTATAATGTGCAGAGGCACTTAAGTTTGCTTATCGAGGTCTAATTAGTTGTAAATCACAGCACAGAGAAAAAAAGGAATGATTCATGCTGATGTCATTGTGTTTAGCTACTTTAAATTGACTTTACTTTTTGTTAATCATCAGCAATTTGATCTAGAGTTTCAAGATTAAAGTTTATAAAATAAGAGTTGTATAGTAGTCTTGCTTAGAAGATGTGTGCTAACACTATTCACTAACACTGTTTTATGAAACATTTAAGGTACATTTGTTGCCAAGTACTGAAATGTGGGTGTATCTCTTGTGTTGATGTTACTTGGTACATCTAACATTAAAAAGTGTGAAATAATAAGAAAGCATTAAATTGTAAAAAACACTATGCCCACAATTATGTTTACCAGGGATGAAAATGTGTATTTAAACACTAGGGCAGGGGTTGGCAAAGTACAAATCAAGCCTGACACCTGTTTCTGTATGTCCTGTGAGATAAGAGCGGATCTTACATTTTTACATGGTTGAAAAAAATAAGAATAATATTTTGTGACATGAAAATTATATGAAATTCAAATTTCAATGTTTATAAATAATGTCTTATTGGGACACATCCATGTTCTTCTTTTACATTTTTTCTATGACTGCTTTTGTTCTACATCAGCAGAGTTGAGTAGCTGCGACAGAGATCTTATGGTTTGCAAAGCTTAAAATATTTGTTATCTGGCCCTCTATAGAAAAGTTTTCCCACCTCTGCCCTAGAGGCAACTGAAGTAATAGAAATAGATTAGGAACTTAGTAGTAGGTACTTGAGGTATTCCTGAAAATCAAAACAAGAAGGTATATTAATGGTAGTATTTTGGGATCAGAAATATGGTTCTTCTCTAATCCCATTTCCCTAATTCTTTTTTTTAAGGTACCATCAAGAGCCCTAGCAGGATACAATGCTATAGTGGGACAGCAGACCCCTCAGTGTATTATAAGAACCTGATACTTTTCACCACCTTTATGACTCTCACTGTGATCCAAGTTTTTGTCATCTCTCTAATTGCTCTCTCTGCTTTCACTCTTGCCTTCTAATCAATATTCCAATACAACAGCCACTGGGCTCCTTTTAAAGTTTCAGTCAGATCAGATCACTCTTCTGCTTAAGATCCACCAATGACTCCCCATCTTGTTTGACCCGAAGTCAAAGTCATTACAGTGCCTTTCAAAGGAAGGCCCTGAAGATTTGTCCCCCAATAGCTCTCTGATAGCTACTCTTCATTTTATTTTTCATTCTGCTCCAGCCATACTTGCTTTTCTGCTTCTCCTCAAATAGTCTGGAAATGTTCCTCCCTCACAGTGGTCTACTCACTGTCCCCTCTGCCTGAAACATTCTCCCCTCAGATATCTGCATGGCTAATTCTCTCACCTCTTTCACATTCTATCTAATAGTTCTAAGAATTGCTGAGAATGAGGTGTTGAATTTCCCAGCTATAATTTTGAAAATTTTCTCTTTCTCTTTTCATTTCTGTTAGCTTTCTCTCCCATGTATTCTGAAGCTCTGCTGTTTGGTGCATACACATTTGGGATTTCTATGTCTTCTTGGTGTACTGATTTTTTTAATCGTTGTGTAATGTCCCTGGTAAATTTTTGCTCTTTAGGTCTACTTTATGTGATATTAATATAGCCACTCCTACTTTTAAAAAAATTATTGCTTTCATGGTATGTATATTCTATCCTTTTACTTTAAATTTGAAGTGAGTTTCTTATAGATAGCATATAGTTGGATCATGTTTTTTATCTACTCTGCTAATTTTTTTAAAGACTTTTTTAGAGCAGTTTTAGGTTCACAGCAATACTGAAAGGAAGGTACAGAGATTTCCTATATACGCCATGCCTCCACACATGCACAGCCTTCCCCATTAACAACACCCCCACCAGTGTGGTATGTTTGTTACCACTGATGAACCTACACTGACACATCATAATCATTCAAAGTCCATAGTTTGCATTATGGTTTACTCTTGGTGTGGTACATTCTATGAGTTTTTGCAAATGTATAATGACATGTATCTGTTATCATAGTATCATGTAGAGTGTTTTCACTGCCCTAAAAATCCTCTGTGCTATGCCTATTTATCCTTCCTTAATCCCCGACTCCACCCCTGAAAACCACTGATATTTTTACGGTCTCCATAGTTTTGCCTTTTGAGAATGTTATATAGTTGGAATTATACAGTATGTAGCCTTTTCAGATTGGCTTCTTCTACTTAGTAATATGCATTTAAGTTTCCTCCTTGTGTTTTCATGACTTGATAGCTCATTTCTTTTTACAGCTGAATAACATTCCATTGTCTGGATGTACCATAGTTTATTTATTCATTTACCTACTGAAGGACATCTTGGTTGCTTCTAAGTTTTGGTAATTATGAATAAAGCTGCTATAAACATCTGTAGATTTTTGTGTGGACATAAGTTTTCAACTCCTTTAAATACCAAGGAGAATGATTGCTGGTAAAAGTATGCTTAGTTTTGTAAGAAACCGCCAAACCGTCTTCCAAAGTGGCTGTACCATTTTGCGTTCCCACCAGCAATGAATGAGAGTTCCTGTTGTTCCACATCCTTGCCAGCATTTGGTGTCAAGTGCTCTGGATTTTAGCCATTCTAATAGGTGTGTAGTGGTATCTCATTTTTGTTTTAATTTGCATTTCCTTGATGACATATCATGTAGAGCATCTTTTCATATGCTTATTTGCCATCTGTATATCTTCTTTGATGAAGTATTTGTTAAGGTCTTTGGCCCATTTTTTAAATTGGCTTGTTCATTTTCTAAGTGTTGAGTTTTAAGAGTTCATTGTATATTTTGGATTATAGTCCTTTAGCAGATGTGTCTTTTGCAAATATTTTCTCCCAGTCTGTGGGCTTATCTTCTAATTCTCTTGATCATGTCTTTTGCAGAGCAGAAGTTTTTAATTTGAATGAAGTCCAGCTTATTAATTATTTCTTTCATGAATCATGCCCTTGATGTTGTATCTAAAAAGTCATTGCCATATCCATGGTCATCTAGATTTTATCCTATGTTATCTTCTAGGAGTGTTATAGTTTTGGGTTTTATATTTATGTCTGTGATTCATTTTGAGTTAATTTTTGAGAAGAGTGTAAGATCTGGGTCTAGATTTATTTTTTTTGCAAGTAGATTTCCAGTTGTTCCAACATCATTTGTTGAAAAGACTATCTTTGCTCTATTGTATTGCCATTGCTCCTTTTTCAAAAATTTGTTGACTATATTTACATGGGACTATTTCTGGGCTGTCTATTCTATTCCACTGATTTGTCTATTATTTCACCAATATCACACTGTCTGGATTACTGTAGCTTTATAGAAAGTATTCAAGTTGGGTAGTGTTAGTCCTCCAACTTTGTTCTTCTCCTTCAATATTACGTTGGCTATTCTGGGTCTTTTGCTTCTCCATATAAACTTTAGAATCAGCTTGTTAATATCCACAAAATACTTTGCTGGGATTTTGATTGGGATTGCATTGAATAGATTAAGTTGGGAAGAACTGACATCTTGGCAATATTGAGTCTTTTTATCTATGAACATGGATTATCTTTCCATTTATTTAGTTCTTCTTCTTCTTCTTTTTTTTTTTTTTCAATCAACAGATTTAATGTTTTACTTAGTTGAAACCAGACTTTTCCTTACTGGTTTATATTTCTCTTCCCAATTAGATTTTTTTTTTGTTTGTTTGTTTATGGTCGTAACATTGGTTTATAACATTGTATAAATTTCAGGTATACATCATTATACTTCTATTTCTGCATGGATTACATCTTGTTCAGTAAATTCTTTGATTTCATTCATCAAAGTTTTGTTCATCTTTGTTTTTTAATTGGTGCATTTAGACCAACAGTTTTTGTTTTTTAAATGGAAACACAAATTTTTATAGTTTGCTTGAGTATTATGGAAGGCAAGTTCCAATTCAATTCTTCCAAGGAAGAGAAGTCAGAAAAGGCTTCCAAAGTACTGCTCCAAACCGTTTTTCTCTGACCAGCAATGGTGGTTGGTCCAGGTTTAGATATGATAAACTTTACGAAGGAGAGGACAAAGATCAACCATTCTCTTTTATCTTCAACTCTGTTTTAGAGTACTCTTTGTTTACATTGTGTAGCCTGTCCCTCCTATACTCTCACTTATACTCATGTCTTCTCATTTTATTTTTTCCACCTTTTGTTTGTTGGAATTTTGTTTTGTGACCCTAAAGCTTCAGACTGAAATATAAATTTGTTAGTGTGTTATTTTCCTAGTCTTTCATGTGATTTGACCCCAACATATTTTGCCAACATTTTTTCCCTTTGTTTCTCTTCTTTAACTTAATTCTCTAAGTAAATGAACAATTTTTTTCTTTGTCCTTGCCATGTGCTTTCCTGTTTTGGTGGGCCTTTGATTTACCAAAACCAACAACAACAACATAAAACCCCAAATTCCAAAACTATTTGTAACTTAAAAAGAATACTAGAAAATGTGGAGGAAAAAAGATGAAAATAACCTGACTTTCAGGGTTCAGAGTAGTCAGATATTAAAACTGTCAGTGCAAACAAAGGAACCCAGATGTTACAGAGGACCAGAAGAAACTGCAAAAGATAATTGAAACTTACCAGCTGCTACTGGACCAATTGCTAAAAAAGAAAATAAAACAAATTATTATTTTTTAAAATTATGTTCCCATTGAAACTTTACTTAGAATATCAGAAAAGGGACTTTTAGGAAACATTAAATCCTATAAGAATATGCTATCCCTTATTAACTCAATATTAACTCCACTTTAATAACTTAAATATCTAGACCATTTTGGAAGGCTTGTTTGATGGGTTATATGAGTAAAGCTCATTTTTTCTAATGAAATAATTTTATTTTTAACATTCTTAACTAGGGCAAGGGTCACAACCTTTCAGGAGACTGGTCACCAGTTAAAGGTTACTAACTTAAGTTCCCTCTTCATCTTCTTTTCTGTCTTTCAACATTCTCTCTCCCTTTCAAACCTTTACTACCATGTCAGGTCTCATCATATTCCTTTTTGCTGCAGTAGAGAAAGTTTATTTATAATTATCAATTTTAAAACTTTTGTCATGATAATTTTTCTTTTTGATAATCTCTGGTGTTTAATCAGAATTCTAAATCTGGCTAAGAAACAGCATGTGTAAGACATGTATCACATGGAAGACGAGTTCTTACTTGCATATCTTTCAGAGGTATAGAATAGGCAGAGCAAGGATCAGTTATAATGACAAATGAGAAACCCCAAAAGCTTCAATTTCCTAATCCTCTTCTATAGTCCTAAATCTGTCATGGTGGGCAAAAGGGAGTTGAGTTTAGCCTCTCTTCCTTTTCTTCTCAATTTTTATGAGAATTTAAAACTCTTCAAGACCTAGCAATGTTTATTTAAATTTTGCTCCTTTTGTTTTTCTACCTATTTCAATCTCTAATCTCAGAATGTCTCTGTTCTATTCTTCACCTTCCATTATATTATTCTTCTAGGTTCATCACTTAGTTTACTTATCCCCTGCCATTCTGCCGAAACAGAATGAGAACATCAGATTTGCAAGGACGTGATTAGAGATAATGCCAAATAGAGACAATATGAGTTAAATTTTTAAAATGATTAAATAATTTACCCAAAGCCACATATCTGATAAATGTTTTAGCTGGGATTTGAACCTAGATCTGTCTGATTCCTTTCTTAATTACTGCAATAAATAAAAAATAAATAAACCTTTGCAATAAATAAAACTTTGCAAGTTTTTTTTATCAATTAACATCATGCAAATGGCTTATTCCATATTTAGAATTATTCATTAGAGCATATCTCTGGAAATAGACTTATGAGTTTAAAGCATACTATATTTTGTGTGTCTTGGAACATACTGCAAATTTGCTTTCTAAAAGGGTTATATTAGTTTAAATGGGATCAGTGTTGTATGAATGTATAATTTTTACCAAAGCATTGCCAGCATTGCTTACTATATTTAAATTTTCTCTTCATTAGGTGAAAAATACTACCTCAGGGTCTTAATTTTCTATCCTTTATTATTTTTTTTGCCAGTCATTGGGCATATTATAATTTCTAAATTCATCATTACCCTAAGGGTATTAGATAATAAGTAGGCAAAGGGGTTTGGAAAATGTGAATGTAAAATCCTTTATGTCAGGGAACATTTTCTAAAGACACTGGAATTAAGAAATAGATGAATAATAACTTACCAATAGGTATTGAAGTAACTGGCAGAACAACACGAAACAAAAATGTATTAGCAAAGTTTTTGGATCAAGAATGTAGTTTCCTTCCTTGCTCTTTCTAAGGCATTAACAATGAGATCTTTGGAAAACACCAAACCTCACCCAGAAAGACATAAATAATGGAATAAGGGGGGGTGTAGCATTTCTTTCGTGGTAAAGGAATAGTCCCAGTCTGATGCGACTGGCTTCAGTTTATTTCAATGTAGCAGAAAGGCAGAGTGGGCTAGTACATATATACATGCTTAGGTCATTTTTTTTCTTTCTTATCTAGCATGGAGAATTTAAATTCTACTGATAACTTTTAAACAACTACAAATTTGAATGCTAATTGCAGTTATTCTCTTTCCTCTCCCTACACCTAACATATATTCTTGATTTTTCCTCTATTCCTTGTTGTTATCTCCACATTTGTTATATTCCACCGTATATATCTTTCCTTTGTGCAGAATGGAAAGTTTTATTTGTTATTAAAAGCTATACGAATTTTTTTTAGAAAACAAAATGTTTCTTTTATACATAGTCTCTTAGTCAAATGTTTATTCTTTCAATCCAGTACTTAAGAACCCAGCAGATTGCTGAGTAAGAGGGAGAGGAAATATTTATAAGTAGAAGCATTAAATAGAATTGGTCAGAACTAGAAAAAAATTTTCTCTTCATTCTGGGATCCCCATTTATACCAGATTTATGAAAAGTAAAGGAACTTACTGATAGGTACTGCTGCATGTGCTAAAATCCAAATGCAAATTATTAGTATGGGTTGACACTAATAACAGAATTGACATTGCTAATAGAATTCTTACTGATACTGTTTCAGATAGGAATTTCTGGAATGAAAAGGAAGAGCAAGCTCCAAGCTTTTTACATAAGTTATTTTCGTCACTCTTTTCCAGTAACATAGTCGTTATTCTCCTTTTATCATCCCATTTTTCTTGAAAATTGAAATACCATAGAACTGGAAAACCTCATTTCCTTTAAATTTTGCTTCCATTTTCATTTTTTTTTTTTTTAAAGATTTTATTTTTCCCCCAAAGCCCCAGTACATAGTTGTGTGTCATAGCTGCACATCCCTCTAGTTGCTGTATGTGGGACGCGGCCCCAGCATGGCCGGAGGAGCGGCGCCTCGGTGCGCACCCGGGATCCGAACCCGGGATCCGAACCCGGGCCGCCGGCAGCGGAGCGCACGCACTTAACCGCTAAGCCACGGGGCCGGCCCCCATTTTCATTCTACTGTCTTTTCTCATTGCTTACTCTTCCACGAGTTTTCCCACTTTTCTCTGTCATCTCCACTTTATATTTAGCTAAAAATGTATTCTTTTGTTGAAAAGTCAATAGAGCCAATCCCAAGAGATTTTCATCTCACTCTTAATTATTTTTGTTTATCAGTTTCATTTTCCAAATATTATTCAGTAATCCAAGAGGGAAGAAGTTGGTCAATGTATGTGCAAAGATTAATGAACATAAGCAGTTCCAGCACAGTCAGAAATGAGGACAGACTTCACTTTTCCTGCCTCCCTCCTCAGGCAATACTATATGATCTCTATTATGTCCTTACCATGAGTTTTTTTAAGTATGTAAAATCTTGTTTGCTTTTAGTAGGACATTTTAACTTACTAGGAAAAAATCATGTTTATTTTTTCCACCAATCTTTGTGGTCTATGCTTTTGTATAAAATCATAAATATTCTGGCAGGATTCTGAGGAAAGGGTGCGAGAAATATAAATGTCAATCTTTCTGTTGGAATGGAAGCAGCCATGTTTAGGAAAAGGCCCACGGTGAGCACCTAACAGAAATATCAAACAGAAAGGGAATTTCTTAGAATTGCAGGTGTCCTTAAAGTGGATACAGAGAATATGGCTCTTATTGATACTATTCTTAGTGAATAAAGACAGAAATATACTCTTAAGTACTACTAAAACATATTTGTCAGATGCAAGAGCTCCATTTCTAGATGTGGGAGAAAGCTACTTTTCTTCCTATGCTTCTCAACTTCTCTGGATGAGAAACATGTCAGGAATGTTTAAATCATATGTAAAATCTGGGAGCTCAGTATCTTCTGTTTTGATCCCTGCTGTATTCCCTGTGCCTGGCATGTGGTAGGCCCTCAATAAATATATATTTTTTGAATGAGTAAGATCCCAATTAATTTGACTTTGCCAGTTCAACTTTATTTTCATCATCTCCTAATTTTTTATTTTCTATCAAAAACATTGATAAACTCCAATACTAAAAATATTAACAGCTAGCATTTTTTTTCCATAGGTGACAATTTACAAAAAATGTTCAAAAGCGTTATTTCTAATTTCAGGTCACCTTTAACCAGCTTATTATTTGATTCCCATCTGTGGGTTTTTTACTTTCTAAAATATTCATCAATAATTTTAGAGGAAGTTATTCAATATAAAAACAAAAGAGATTGAAACTTGAATGTCAAGGTCTTACGTGTTCAGAAAAGGATATAATCAGTACGGGACCCAACCCCAGAATTGATGAATAAATATAGAACTTACTTGGCTCTTCTGGTGTTACTGTGAAAAAGAAATCAAATAAATGAGTGAGAGGTTTCTGGATGAAGAACAGAATTACTTTTCAAGCTTTATGCTGGAAGCTTTAGAAACGGGACTTTGTGAGACCACCAAACTCTATTTAGAATCAGTTAAATATAGTGGGAGAATAAATATCTTCAGATTATTATGCTCATATCTTCAGATTATTCAGCTCAAGTCTCTCTTAATTTGAGTGTCTCTTTGCAAAGAAAGGATAAGAGTGGAATCATTGGGAGAGGCTATTTCTTACTTCTGATTTCTCTCTGCTAATTCAAACTTTCTAAAATCATTGACTGGTAAGATTTTGATGTCACTTATACTTTACTGCCTTCTTATTATTATTCCTCTCTTTCCCATCACTATTTAGGAATGATTGTTTTGATTTATCCTGATCATTACTATGATTCCTGTTTGCTAATTACTGTTCTTTAGGTTAATTTTAGAAAAGTTTCTCTTTTCCCCCGTAAGCATAAATATCTTAGGGCTGGGTGACCATATTTCTCACCATTTGACTGGGATGGAGTCATTGTGTGACTTTAGAGTCAGGTAAATAGATCTGAATTTGAATTGAATCCCAGCCTCTCCTGCTCATAATTGTGGGATCATGGGCAAGTTACCTAGTCTCACTATTTCCTTCTCTTTATAATAGGAATAACAATACTTATCTGATATAATGTATACACATATACAAAGCCCTGAGTACAGTGCCTGGCACATTGTAAGTACTTAATAAATATTATTTATTATTATAGTACCACATTAAGTACTAATTAATTTCATTTATAGACTCCAAATGGACATTGATAGTCAAAAGTAGAGCAAGCTACTGAAAATAGGAATAGGGAAGCAAGAAGCTAGATGGAGAGGAATCCTGAAAAAATTAATAAATCATAGAGCCATAAATATAAATCTTAAGTCTTGGTACGTTTATACTAAAAACAGGGCACAAAAGGTCCTCTAGATACCATGAGATATCAATGATAACAATAGAAGTGAGAGAAACATGGGACTTACTCTTAGATTTCTCAGGTCTGGCTTTAATAAAAAAGACAAACAAATTAGTGTGGTTGTCTGATGAACCAGAAACACATTTTCACTGATGTCATTTCCAGTATGAGCCCCGCACACTGGATAGTAGTGAAAAGAAGGGTGATTAAGCAGAGACCACTTTGCCTTGGGAGTGTTATGGAAGAAGGGTCCACAGCTAGTGAGGGAGCTCACCTTTCCCTTTCCCATCTAAGTCTCTGATTGTGTGAAATCAGGAAATGTGTAACGTCCTCACCTATTTTAGTTGAGCTACTTTTTTGGTCTTCCTCTGCCGTTTTTCTCTCCCAATCTCCACCCACATTCTCAATCTCTGCAATCCTCACCATTGTTCTTCACTTGATTTGCCCAGGTTGTCACTCCCTTCTCTGAGAGCAAGTTCTGTGTTCTCTTTATCAATCTCTATACTTAGCATGGTCTCTGCAAGAGCAGGCACTTAACAAATGTTTGCTGAATCAATGAAGAAATTCTCCCTACTGTGCCTAATGTCAGAATGCTCCTCCTTTCCCCCTGTTCTCCTCATGCAACCATTAGTCAGGAAGATTTTATGCCTTATAAGGGAGACAAGTATTGGGCATATGAAGACAGGCAGTGATCCCTGCCACACAATGCATGAGGGTGAACAAAAGAGATTGTCGGAGGAGGGATGATCATACGACATTTTGTGCTTAAGCCCTGGCAGGATTTTAGCTGTAAGATTTTGAAAACTTGCTAAGGCTAGGAATAATAATTTCAAAGTTATAAGGAGTGTTCTATTTGTAAGAGGTGAAATAATTAATACACTTTTGGGCCAGCTTGTTCTTTTGTTCTAGGAAATCTCTGGAAAGGTCTAGGTATGAAAAAGCAAAGCAGAGAAAAGTAAGATTTGAAAAGCAGATATTTGATACACTATGACTCTGAGTAACCAAACCGTTCCATGTAAGTATGAGAAAACCTACATAAAAGAAAACTATTGTTTTCTAAGTATAAAGTTGGGTTGCACTAATATTGAAAACTGTTCTTTGAGTGTGTAAACATGTCTCTGTGTCTGTTCTTGTTCACAGATGACTAAGCAGCAATTTTATTGAAATATGAGACTGAACTCAAGCTGTGCTATTTTGGGTCTCAGGTAACAAGTATCAGTGTGGAGAAAGAAATCCTCATTCCTCATGGAACCCAGCACTATAAAGCACTTTGAGGATCAGTGGCTTTTTTAACATCAGAAGGCAGCGCTGTTGACAAAGAAGGGCATTAGCTTTGGAAGTAAGTGGGGCTCCTTCAAATAGCCTCAGGGACAGTGGATAAAATAAAGAAAACCAGAGAAGTTCTGATAGACTAGTGGGTGAGGATGTGTAGTCACTCCCTTACAGTTCCCAGAGCTTGAAGGTACAGGATGCATTGCAAGAGGGGCTGGATCTTTTGCAGGGGGACGCACTGGTGCTCCATAGCCAAATTTGTCATGATGGCATGCCTGCTTAGGACATCACAGTATATTTGTTTTATTTTCTGTCTTTTTATTTTGAGATATTTTAAAAAATACTCAATATTTCAGGAATATATAGTCATACTACCTATAATGTAACATTTGTCATATTTGTTCTCAATTTTTCTTCTAAGAAAAAAATAGTACAGAGATGACCAAAATCTCTTTGAATCACTAGTCCCAGGTTCATTACCTTTCTTTCTGCTCTTTGGAGGCAACCACTATTATGAGTTCAGCATACCCAATAACTTTTTTTTTTTTTTAATTTTTTGTTTATTGCAGTAACATTGGTTTATAACATTGTAAAAATTTCAGGTGTACATCATTGTACTTCTATTTCTGCATAGATT